GATACACGTGATAGAAAGTTTGCCCAGCCTAGACTTCTTCAAACAGTCGATTAAGCGCGTTTCAATCTATCGTAGCTGGTTTTCCGCTGGGTTTTCCTCGTCGAGTGGCTCGATAAAAATGTGTCTTTGTGCGCGGACGGGCGCTGTAGCGAACGTGGTGCCATTTGAATGCGGCAATAAAACGAATCCTTCCTCACGCCAGGTCAGTGTCGTTAAATTCTATACTCAAAAGGAAGCAGATGAATGCAAAAACGAAGATACGGTATGATATTTTGTAAGATTCATTTGTGAGAGGTAATATTGTAAACTCAATTCAGCTGGCCTCATCCACTTTCCCGCAGACCTTTGGGCCGGCTGGACCGAAGCTGTGGATAATACGGTGCCCCCCGAAAGGTCAACGCAGGACACGCGCGCTAAAAATCCTTTTGTTGATTGAAACATAGTGCAACCAGTAAACAATCGGCAGGAAGCCAAACGGCCCTGACGCAGACTGCGAAGCAAATCCAGCAGACGTTGGGCTACAGTGCGCTGGGCCACGATACGCCGTCGACGAGCGCATTCGGCGAGACAGTGTAGCGCTGAAGATTGTTTTTCACGTGTGACCACTGCGCACGTCGTCTGCCGCCTCCGCCGCTGGTACGCTATACACCAACGGTCAGCCCGATATCTCCCATGTTTAGGGCGGTCACTTAAGGTCAGCAAACAGAAAATACGATAAAATTATGAGGATGGAGGTTTGTTGCTGAGAAAGCACATTCATTCAGGAAAGGGACTACCATTATTCGGAAAGAACTTCAACATCTTAGGAACAGAAAAAGGGGTGGCCAGCTATGAAATCAGAAGAATTTTATTTTCTTGAATAAAAGCGAAGAGTCACTATGGACTGATACGTTTAGGGGGAGGTAAGGCATATGTGACGAGTCAACACTCAGTCCACAGTTCTAGCGAGTACACATGACCAGACACATGATGAAAGTGAAAACAGCCATGGAGCGCATCTGCAGAAGCGATGTGTTTTATCTAAGCTTGGGTATGGGAGCAAGAAGCGGAAAAACTTTAAAGTTTAATGCCACACACATTTTATTGCCGATATCAGCAATAGAGCAACGATCTCCATATACTCTCTGAACTTCTAAGCATGCACAACATTACTCTCGCAACTCAATCCCCTTCTAAGCTGTTTCTCACTTAGCTTTGATGAGAAAAGACACACACACGACG